AGTTCCGCAAATAATTGACATGAGAGGGAATAACAACGCGACGTAGTAATTTACCTGACTGACGGCTCCTACTATGTCCCGTTGTTTTATTGGGAGGCGAACAGACGTGCACGCGTGTCCCATCCGCCGCCTGGGATGATGGGGTGCGCGGCGGAGGTGCTCTGGGGGCGCGCAGGTACCCGCCACAAAAAATATTTGGGTGTTTGTTGACATCTCAGATTCGTCATGCGATCCGTCCGAAATGTCTATATTTATTTTTATTGTATCTGACGGAAGGGTGACATGGATCGTGTATCTAAAATTAGGAGAACAAAAGTAGATATTTTTAATTAGATATACCGTTTTTTTAATGTCTGTTGTATAAAATTTGGTAAGTTAATTATTTGTCGCGATAATGAAGTCCTGTGAGATTATTTAAGAAAACAAACTTCATATATATATATATATATATATATATATATATATATATATATACTTAATTTCATAATTATAAGCATAGATAATCGGTTTATCGGACACTACTATGTATACTACGTATTATTATTATAATTGAAGAAATAAATATAGGTAGATACGATGTTTAATTGTTTGTTATAAATCAGACACCAATACATATACCCATAATTTAAACATTGTGTAATTTTTAATATAGGAAATTTGATTGATATATAGCATGTAATTTCGATAAATTAAAATTAAATAAAAAAATACTCTTTAGTAAAAAAATAATAAATGCGAGTATAAATGCATAAATTCGAAACGTTATAAAATAACGAAAGTGTTAAGGCAATGAATAAGCTAACAATGAAAGTTTAATAATGTGATATCGGGTGAAATTCACTAAAACTTGTAACGTCCAAATCAAGGGTTGAACATTAGCGTCTTTATTCGGAAATGGAGTACCGAAGGCCGGGCATGTCAGTTCGCCTCATGTAATATGCAGGCCTCAGGCGTCTCAGCACTTTAAGTGTCCGCGACACTTTGGGATTCATTCGCACTTTCCTTATTACGAAATGTTTATACTCCAGATATTATTTATTGATATCTTCGGGTTTCTATGGTTTGTAGGATTAAATATAAAAAAATATTAATAAAAAGATTGCTATTAATAAGGTTCTTCGTGTTTTCAAGGTTTTAAGTTTACAATCAAATAAAAAATGAAGAAAATTTTCAATTAGTTACGTGGTTATATTTTGATACGGTACTTTATTTGTAACTTAGTAAATGTGAAAAATCGATTGTAAAAGTTGAGTAGAAAATAAAGAAAACGCTTTTTTGTGTATAACGTGAAGGTTTTGATATGCTTTATGGCACATCATGTGGATTTTATATCTTGGTTATATAATTTCTCTCCTATAGTAGTCTACCGGTTAACAAAAAAATAACGATATATCATTTAACTATTAAGTAAGCTATTTACGTAGTGTTTATTATGTTAGAGATCAGGACATATTTATTATTAGATAAGTACTATATAACTATTTTTAGTAACATAATACCAACTAGAATTATGTTTATTTATAATATATTTAACAGACACAGCTGTACTTATAGAAAATTACCAAAAAATATGTTGTTATTCACCTTTTTGAATTCAGAATTTAAAAATCCCAAATACATTCCCATGTGTGCGATGTGCAAAGAAGTTAACAAACAAGTGAATACGTTTCAAACCCTCATCAGAGTAGATCGCGGTAGCGACCCTGGCTCCCGAGATAAGGAGCACTTTTTCATAATACTTTATTCAGAGCTGGAGATTTGGTTCAGTGACAGACTAATCGGCCATGTCAGGAATGAGGTGCGGCCGCTTAAGTATTAATATCAACCCTTTTGTATCCAGCCATACTGGCGGATAGCGCCCGACAACTCCGTGTCAATCCTGTCCCGTCTCCGTGAATGTTTTGAATATTTAATGTTCATTAATTTGTTAGCTCGCCTCGCTTACTTTGACTTGCTATACATCAACTGTTAACAAATGTAATTGTTATCTAATACATACATGTACGAATTTCTCAATCCTTGTAACACGGATCGATTGGTAACATGTATATTCATCATCTGATTCATCGCTAATATCTATTTTTATTTAAGCATCATTTTTATTTATATTAATACTACAGTTTTTATTTGATATCAAATGGTTAATTAAGTATTTATTGGCCTTTATTTTTTCAGTGATATCTTGCATCTTTGTCGATTCATCTCGTTTACTTTAATTACAATTTCATTCTAAGGATTTTAATTTAAATGTGTGTATATTTTTAATGTAAACATGCTGTCAGCTAATGTGATGGTTAATGGCAACGGTTATCACGAATTATACAACACAATTACACGAATTATACTTACTATTAAAATTCTGTCTTACAGTATCACCCGCGATACTCCACATACGTTGCTATATCAGAGGACTAAGATTAATAAGGAGGACTAAAATGAATAAGAAGACATGTCAAGGGTAAAGCATCTTGTAATTTCACTGCCAAATCACACCCTACAACAGAAATACAGCTTACAAAGCAAGCTGCTTAGTGGTTGAAGTAGCCTAGACAGATATTTTTTCCACTTCTCGTGCGCTCACACCCCTCGCAGTCCGTACTCAGAGCTCCTGCATCGCTAAACGTGGAAACATCCAACAAAATCCTCGGTGCAACTACAACATCGAGATTTGCCGTCTTCGTTGCTAGCAAAACAACTTCAGTATGCCAAAAATGGCACTGAACATTGACCCTATGTAGCCATTGGCGACGATGAAAGTTTCATCGTAGTACAAGGCTGTAAGAAGAGGCTTACATAGAGGGCCAATTAGAACCACTGTGGTACTGCACCCACTCGGCCCAACTTGTTGTTGAGTGCTGTCACACCGACCCCAGTAATATACCAGTAATTATAATATGGATCATTAGTAGCCTGAATGAATAAATATATATGAAATTTATGTCGATATTTGAGGCCGTTATTTCTGAAACCGACCGAGAAGCAACACAGGAACGTGGTGGACCTTTCCAACGCGATCTCTACGACTACGCTAAAACCCTACATGAGCCTAGAAGTTTCACAAAACAAATCTCAAAGGTACACTCATGCACAAATATTTCCGGAGTTTATCTGCAAAATTACAGCAGTTTGGTGTCACACGTAATCCTCGTAATATATTCACAACTAAAAGGCAACACGGCGCACCGCATCTATCGGCCCCCGAGGAGCGATTGCCGGACAACGGGTGAACGGCGCACAGCACACTAATAATGTCATTCATCATTTAAAATTATAATCCTGTAATTGAGATTTAATATAGAAAAAATTAAGTGAATTATTTTATTAAATAAATAAAAGACTTTGGAATCGTCTAAAACTCTATCAACTAGCAACTTCTTGAAACAAGTTTGATGAATAATATTTCATAACAAGCTGAACACTATCTTGATCTAATGATAAATAGATCAAGATAGTATTCAGTTTCTTATGAAATATGGACAACAAACAGATAGATATATAACCCTCAGACTGATCCAATTTAAATAAAAGATTTTCTACATCAGTGCTACACAACGCTTTTCAGCCACAGGTTTCTAGAAAATTAAATACAATTCTCAAGAGGGCTAAAAATAACACATAAGGCATTTGGTGGCATCTATAATTACTGTGAAATGTTCTATAGATCTCTATACATTCATATAAATATTTACCACAACCACAGGTTAATAAAGACATGTCGTGAAAAAATGTAATTTAATCAAAATATGGAATCTATAATTATTTTAAAAGATGAACCTACTTACATAATGTAAGTGAAAAGTTAGTGAAAACTTATTCAAAGTTATTATTACGCCGTCGTGTCTGTCAGTCTATAAGAAATAAACAGAAGACGGCAATAACTATAAAACTATTATACTGAACATCAACACACAATGCAAAGTAGAGACAAAAAAGGCAAGACAAAATAGTTTACTGTAGTGTGCTAAGTTTATTGTACCGTAGCGGTACGCGGGGAGTGCGGGTCGACGGCGCCCATTGGCCGCGCCCACGCCGTGGGTGGAACGAGGAAAACAGTCAGTTTTCCTCTACACCGGCTACGTTCCAAATTTGAAAAGCTTTTAGCGTCATCCACATGTCATTCGTTTGATTATTCGTATTCTGGTATGTTTCCTATTTGATTATCAAGTGGGTACGCCCGTCACACAATTTGACGATGGATTATGTCATTGTGCTCTGGGGATTACTTTGGTACTTGAACTTTTATTTAACAGATACTAAAATTACGTTCTCTTTTGTTAAAATATGAAACGAAGTATATATTAATTGCTAATATTAAGTTGTGAAAGTTTGTGTTTGTTTTATTAATATTTTTGAAATAGTGAACATGGATATTGTTACATTCTAGCTTAGGACATAGAATATTTTTTAAGATAACTGACTAACGTCCTAACCTACATTATACCTACTAAGAGATTTTCAGATAAATAAAGAACAATAGAATAAACAGATTTTTTCTGTGATTCTATTTCATAAACTTTTAATTTTCATAGCTCTAGGCGACACTTTGTAGCAAAGAAATGTATTTTTTTTGTATTTCCATTAATATTATTTACAAATTACATGAGTGTACAAATTATTTAATATAGTAAGCGAAAATCAAATGCAGAAATTTAAATTTTAAAAATCTGTTTAGTAGTGCATACTACTACTAAACAGATTTTTAGTAGTAGTATGCTATTAGCGTTAAATAAACATTTGCCTGTTTAGGTAACTTCCCAAAAATTATCGTCACTCTGAGGTAGAGTAGTGTCATATTACTCTGATAGGCGTCCAGCACTGTCATGATCATTATTTTATGACGATTTGAAGGCGGTGTGGGTGCAAGAGTACCTAGAGGAGGTCGTGTGGGCGGGGCGGACAGGCGGGGCGCAGGGTGCTGCGAGTGCGGAGGTGCTGGCAGGCCGGGCGCCAGACTCGCCCACCGCTCCACCGGTCCACCGGAGCTCACAGTCGCGCCGCATACGCCGATCTTGACGCCCGCACCGTTACGTAACACTACGTCTAAACTCACGCCACAGCTCAAACTCATCGGTTCTCGTACACTCTCGTTACAAACATTACTATCACCTGTACGTGAATAATAAAGATGCGTGTCGCAAGCAGCCGTTAATTAAGTCGATCGGCAGCAGGCACCCAAATAATTGCCGTGAAGCAAGCTCATACAGGGCTGCCCGCGTCAGGCACCCCGTCAATTAGTGGCACCTGTCGGACACGCGCTGCGCATTAATTCGTGCTCGCGATAAGTGAGCCCGCAAAAAATTCCAAAATAAACTTGAACCGATGCACCTGCGGCAATCTGCGGCCGAAGCGGAACTGTCACAGTGAAGGAGCCCGGTGCACCGCGAGCAGACCGTGGTCGCGGCAGTTCTGGGCCTGCCCGCCGATATGATCATGCTATTCAAAGGCAACAGCAGCAGGTTGGAGCATCTGATAGAGAAGATACAGGCCAACAAAGAAAATCACGACGTAATTCCGGACGACATAAAAGGTCAGTTTAGTGTTATTCAAGTATCGTCTCGTCTATTTGTAAAAAGTATTATGGTAATTTTCCATTTCAAAATTAATACCTAATACTGATGTTGGTAAATTAAAAACTATGAAATATATGGTCAAGTTTTGTATAATATAAGGTCTACGAAATGTACACACGATTTGATTGATGTATTCAGTATAAGTGTGAAAACTTCTATTATCCGATACAAATACTGTCGCATATTTTTTAATTGCTTTAAGTCAGGTTTAAAGAGGATATCGACATACACATAAAGTATAATGATAATGTAGAATTGCATCATTGTGAAGTCTGTTGTATAATTAATAACTTTTAATATTTAAATAGTTACTCGACTATGACAAAATTATTTTTTTGAAAAATATTATGTAGAGTATATGTCATTTAGTAATATTTATTATTTACATTTACCATTAGAGATATAAATTAATTATAATGAACCATCTCATTGACATGTTAAGCCGCAGGTTAATTTATGTGTCCTTTAATCACGGTTACCTTTAATCATTCAACAAAACGTTATGAAAATTTGCATACTCTTAGTACCAGAAATAGAAGAATAGAATGGGCTAATTTAATAATTTTCAAGTTATGCGAATAAAGTCGCTAGTAAAAAATAAATCACTATTTAAGATTACAAAATTTAGTTCTACGAAAGTTTTATAAGTATTAGAACGGATCTAACAGGAGATGACCCTTGTTTGTAGAGTTTATACTTTCTATACACAAGAAAAATAAAACCAATCTACAATGAGCAAATATGTCACGTATAATACACATCAAAAATAGAAAATTATTCGTAAGTACTTTTGTATCATCTAAAAAGGTTTTCAGATGATACTTTCGAGCATCATTACCAGCAACCGTCCAGATTTTTAGTAGTAGAGCTCGAATATAGTCATCAAAGTTCTTTGCAACCAAGCGTTTTGATTGATCCTTAGTCCTCAAGAGAAGTAAACGGATAAAAAGTTCCACACTTATAACAGGATATTTTGTAATCCATGAGACTGTTATGTGTATAAACAGTTATTACTTTCCATCTAAATCTCCGAGTACCGCATGATACCAACCCATTTTGTTCCAGTACTACCAAAGTTAGAAAACTAATATGTAACCAATTATTTAATGGTACTTAGGTAAAACATACCTGTATAATAAATAGGGCTCTTGATACATCATTATTTATCGGTATACCTATTTGAATTTGTACAAAAATTAATTTATTAATACTATTTGTGAAAATTATTAATTAGCATAGGATAATTCAATATGATGAGTAACATTTAAAATTATACCGTTAATATTTCTTAAAAAAATAAGGAAATAATACAAATAAAGAATACTTTTCCTGAATTCCTTGTCGAAAGATTAACCGAAGTTATAAAATTTTAATTTAGAAATAAAGTTTCTATTTTTAACGGTCCGTTACTATTTAGAAATAATTTACAGAAATCCTGCTAAAATGGGATGTAATAAGTCCATGAAACTGAAACTGTCATAAACAACTAGTTGATTAATCATCCAGAGTGGGTGTGAACGAAGTAGCATATATGTAGATAAAATCTATGCGAGCAATGTGCCCTTTAAATAGTATCAGAATATAAATAAATAAATAATAAATAACCCTGGACAATTAACACAGCGCCATCTAGTACCACGGTAAGCAGAACTTGTGTTATGGGTGACTAGACAGCTGATATAAATACTTAAATGTCATTTCTTTTTATCAATACGTACATAATATGTTGTAGTTTATTCATGTAGTAATAAGAAAAAAGACTAGGTAAACTGAGAAAAATATATATTTTTCTCCGTAATATACATAGAATACACCCAGACCGATTCAAACAATCATACTCATGAATACAAATGTTTGCACCATGCAAGGAATCGAACCCGCGACCGATGGAAGTAAAGCGGTAGACCACCGAAGCCGTCATAAACTTGTCTGCTGCTGCTACATGTTACAAACACATTATTGGGACTCCATAGAATGGTAGTAACTAACTTACAACAGACAACAGAATATGGACAATATCATAAATTCATTTATCGGGTGTTATTTCTCAGGGTGCCGTTCATTAGTCATTATAGGTTTCGATTACTAATTTCTATGAAGTTCGTTCGTCATTGAGTTTACCATTCCAGTCATATAAGAAACCCTGCGTGAACGACTATGTTTATTTATTTGTTTGCAATTAAAAAATAAGCATTATTTTTGATAAATAATAATGATAATGACAATTGCATATTTATTCCATGTAGAGTTTGTGATACTTGTCACATCTAAGGATATATTCAAGTAGTGATTGGTGTTGATTACCGAGGCGCCGGTCGAGGTGTCCCAGACGACTCAGGCGCAATTAGGAAGTGCGCTTCCGCCGCCCACCACCGCCGGCTGGCGGCGCCACCGTCACCCGAGGAATTGCCTGCAATCGGTGCTAATTACGCTATCCTCCCAGGCCACCACCAACATCTAACTACCACTTACAACTGATACAACACTTGTTATTCAAGGAGACAATAAATGTAATTGTGCATTCATATCAATATAACTATATATAACTATGTACCTCTTAAAGTTCACCTCTAAGAAGTAAAAAAATATCTGATTATAGCCACGGAGTTCATTTTATTTGTAACTGGTTTAATCAAGATGGTTTTAGTCTCTGTTTTATGGTAATCGAATATTATGTTATCTGTGGTAATAGCATTTAAAATAATCACTCGCTTTGGTGAAAATAACTGATTAATTACTTTCTGAGTATCAATCCTCATGAGATAGATTAAACTTATTTTGTAGTATTCACAGTTCATAAGATGGTTGAAGAAAATTCCTTGACTTAAAGTTGCATTGCAAATCTTGAAATTAGCAAAATTTAGCAAAGACCCTTAAAGAGAGTCACCAGTTTCTTATTAACTTGAATCAGTAATTTCTTGACTTAAATCTGAAATTCTAATAGTCCCCTAACTGTTAAAACAATAACAGTTACAATAAGTACATTCAGATAAAAGTATAATTACCGACGAACAAATACGTCAAACGGTGTTATTCCTTGTCTATGAGTATATCAATATATATGTAGAAGTTTATATGTATGGAAAATTACTTTTTTCTAAACAATAAAATTACAAAAGGAAAATTTAATTCAAATTAAATATTAACGGATCAATTTGATTTTTATTTTAAACACTTCAGAAGATTTATTGTGTTCACTTTTAATGTATTATGTAACAATAGAATGTATGATGCTTAAAACTATGTATTCTACATGAATTTTGTGTCATTTATCTATAAAACCTTTACAAATATTTATCTACAAGCACATAGAGTAATTTGTGCAAATGTGCGATCCTATATAACTTAAAGTATATAATAAGTCACAACACTTAAAGTATATAATAGTCAAAACACTAGTAGGTAATCGATTAACATAATACTATATATTCAGAATTCATAAAAGAAAGTAGGTTTTAGACATTAAATTATGAATTTACATTTAATTTAAATTTATAATATATGCAGACAACAAGATAAATGATATTTGTTTTTTGTTTCAATTAAATTCAGTATTTATACATATATTACAAATATAGTAAATGTAATATTTTACTACAAATTTTACTTACCCATCTTTGTTCGTTACAGCAGAAGTAATTTTAATTGAAATTTAACCTTTACACCACGAAAAGAGTCTTTTTATCTACATTAACACTTCGCAAATTTCATGGTAAGTACCTATACTTAGGCAGTATCCAATAGAAGCATTTCTTAAGTCAGCTAAATTGACTTGTCATTATTTTAGCCATTAGCGTGAAGTCGTTACATGGGTCCGGGCATAGGGAGTCAGATTGAAATAAATAGTTCCTCTTTTTTAACGCGTTTACGTTCAATAAATTATAATGTTATTTATACAGATGCGTAGGTTTTAGCCTATCTAATATTTTAGTTCAAAGATTTATTCAGTGCCTAGTATCTTTGAACTAAATATTTGGCTAAATTATTAGGAAATTAAATTAAAATATTAGGTTAAATATTTGTAATCGATAGTTACAACAAAATAATCGAAATTTGTTCAGTGCTAGCTAAGATACCGCGCAACACAAAAATATAGGCGAATTGAGAGCATTCTTTATTTGATCGTGTAGATTTGTCCGTAGGCTTAAAATCTTTAAAGACTATGTCATTATATATATTTTTTCATACTGTTTCATGATATAATTAAACAAATAAAATATATAAATAAATGTGTTACCAAATTCATAGAACCGTTCAAATTGAGTAATAAACATGTAAACATATTTATAAACTTTGACTTTTAATATATTTTAATAGGATTTGCAATATAAAAAATACGAAAAATATGTGCACGTGTATTTTAATTTACATTATTCTTTGTTTGAATCAATTTCACTTTTATCATTCACATTAAAAACGACGAGGACACCAATGAAATTCTGATTTGAATTTACGAAGTGCGATAATACTTACGGAGGGTAATATATTAAAACCTCCGCGGAAAGTCCGTCGGGCGAGCGCTGGAGACGGCTGGCATTTCTACCGTGCTCCTACATTACTCATCATTTGCACCGACGCTCGTCATCGCGGCCCATTCAATTTGTTTATATTTCACGCCACTCCGAGGTGCTCTCGCTGATATACCGCCCCTAACACCGAAATATGGAGCTTTACCGATATTTATTATGGTTGTATCTCAGCAGCGAGCTCTCTGCCTACTCTAATGTATTTTACATTCATTGTAAAGCCCTGTCGTAGCTCTTTATTATTTGAATACCAATAATGCTACACCGTAGGTCTACTGCCAGGATATTACTAGTATATATACAATGAATAGAATAGATAATCGTCGTCATAAAAATATTGAAAGTCGGGGTTGTTAGTAATGAGTATTAATAGCCACATTGCTAGCAATGTGTCACATTGATCTCCTTGCGGTCACCTGTGTATATATACTATCCTGGATAATTCTATTTGAATGGGTAGGCTTTATATGTAACGGAAATAATAGAAAAACAAGAAAACGGTGGATATTAAGTTGAGAATATACCTTATATGTAACGGAATTACCTATCTTACTTTAATCGGAATCATTGCCTTGCCTTTATCCCATTATTTGGGGTTGGCGCAGTATGTCATTCTCTTCCACTGCTCTCTATCGGTCGTCATATCTGAACATACTCTTCTTTTATTCATATCAACTTTCACACAATCCATTCATCTTTTTTTAGGGCGTCCCCTTCCATTACATCCATCCACGTTCATATTATACACTTTCCATAAGACATGGTCCTCGTTCCTCCGCATAACATACCCTACTTTATGCTACTTTAATCGGAATCTTTTCTTAAATGGAAGAGATTGGTACTTTAGTGAAAATAATAAGCAATTGTAGTCAGTAACAAATGCTGAATACTTCATTAGTATGTCAATAAATACATTATGTTATACAAATTATTGCAATAACAAATAGCTTTTTTATGTAAATTCGGATAGTAACTGTGTTCTTCACTCAAAACAATTAAAAATCATGTCATGTCTTTAATGAAGATTTAACGGCGACAATATTGTCATTTATGATTGTTTTACGCTTCAACTTGGCAAGTAAATGGCATTTGTATGAAAATAAATTGGTGTTTTTTTGTTAATTATGCAGAATAGGAAATCGTTTGGTAGAGTTTTGTTGATATGTTCACTTTAAAGTTCGATAATAATTTATGTGTAAACTAACATAAAACTAGCATTACAGACGTATTACGGATATATGTTATAGACAGGAACTCCATGTTATTAAAATTATGGCAAACGTATGCTGCGAAAATTTTATGAATATTTTTTAAATAATCTACTTACTTATAAATGTATTATTCTTTCTAAAAGTAATAGAAGTAACAAGAGAAAGTAAACTCTATGTTTTAAAATTGATTGATTCTATTTTCAAATGAAAAATAATACTGTTGTAAATAATATGAGTTAATGTTACAGAAATAAGATAGATTTATTTCGATTGGTGAGGCCGAATTGTTTGGATGAGATTTGGCATTGCCTGAAGAATGCCAAATCTCATCCAAACAATTTTGCTTCCAAACACCCTACCTAACTTATGTTCGAGTTGTATATATATGAATCTAATAATTGTATGATGAGTATATTCTAATGCACTAATTTGTTAATCCATTTCGGAGTCTGGTCGATTCAGTTTTAACATTGGGTTCAGCTACTCCAATATTCATATATACTATAATCGATTACAATATTGATCTCAATTCAACATATTTATATACAGTTCTTTTGAAAAGTAGGTAATCTGTACCAAACTGAATAAATCGATAACAATGTTTGTTAGATTTTCATTGACAACGAAATATGAAATTAACACATTACTAGTGTAAAAACTACAAAACGACTCAAACAAATGTTATTTAATACGAATTATGTAGTTTCCAGAAAAGCTCTTTGTGACGATATTCCTGGATTGCGCAGAGTTCGGCCCAACAGATATGACAATTTTTTACGTACTTATTTTATTTGGATGTAATTAAAAATGTCATCAAGTAGTGAAAGTGTCCACTAGAGATAAGAAAAATACTCAAGATGTAATTAGTAATCGCGAGCTTAATAAAACAACATAAATGGGCAACTAAGTATAAAAATATAGCAACAGCAATAAACAGTTAAGTAAATAATTTATCTTATGACTAACCCTCAGTAGTAAGTAAAATAAATTAAGTAAATTAAATTAATATGATTTAGTTATTCTGCCGTCTACTCGGGTGCGACTCGATAGTAATAGATCATTCTGGATCGTTTATATATATATTAAATTAAATTAAATTCAAAATATCTTTATTCATGTAAGTCTATTACATACTCTTATGATATGTCAAATCTACCGTCAGTTCGGAATGAAATCGTGATGATTATATTACAAAAAAGAGCAGTTCGTTCAATATATAATTTACCGTGTCGCGAATCCCTTAGAGAACGCTTTAAAGAAACAGGTATCCTTACTGTTCCCTCTCAATATATATATGAAAATATAATGTACGTACGTAAAAACTTAAATTTATTTACAAAGAATAGTCACTTACACGGTTTTAATACAAGGAATAAAAATAAATTAAATATGCCTAGTTTTCGTCTCAAAAAAGTAAGTACATCTTTCATGGGACATTGTGTACGTTTTTATAATAAATTGCCCGATAATGTTTTGAATTTAAATGAAGGGAAATTTAAGATACATGTAAAAAATACACTTTGCGCTAAAGCTTATTATAAAATAAACGACTACTTGAATGACTACAATGCGTGGACTTAATTACTTACTTATTTTAACTTTGAACTTAATTATTTTAACATTTGTTATGAGGTATATAACTTTCTCATTGACATAGATAATGTAATAAACACTAAAGAAACTTATCCTAAATTTAGTAATGACATATTGTAAATTAAATATTGTAATGGGTGAAAACTGTGATTGGTACAGTTTATGCTGTAAATAATATAAATGACGTAGTGGAGTAACTTGAAACAGTCATGCTCGCTATAAAGTTCAAACTTGTGGCGGCGTGGTGGGCCGGGTCGATGTGCTCCCTCTAATATGGTTGAGTGCAATGATGGCTAGCTCATCCGTCATACTCGTGTACGGGTGCTGCTTGTGGGGACTGGTCTGTTCAGGTTGCGAACACTGATTAGATTTTTTGATTTTTTTGATTTTTTTTTATATAGCATATGCTGGTGGTCACTCTATTCTCCCAAATTTGAATTTAAATGAAATATTATTATTGTAAATATGTACAACATTAAAAAAAAAAAATACGAGCTGAGTTTCTTGTCAGTTCTTCTCATCTCGAAATCATTCCGAACTGACGGTAGATTTGACATATCATAAGAGTCTGTAATAGACCTACATGAATAAAGATATTTTGAATTTGAATTTGAATTTGATGAGAAGAACTGACAAGAAACTCAGCTCGTATTTTTTTCAAATAAATTTTTTACATGTTTACAATAATACACAGTCATTAAAATTCAAATTTGGGAGAATAGAGTGACTACCTGCATATGCTACAGCAAAGAAGAAAAAATTTAATTTGTGTTCACAACCTGAACAGACCATTCTCCACAAGCAGCACCCATTCACGAGTATGACTGCTGCTTGTTAAATGATACATATACATAAATAGATAAAAGTTTGTCTAAGGTTGTAATTACAGAGCATTTAACACTAAGCTTGAAAAGAGTTGGCACCGCCCTGCTTCTAAAAAAATAAGATTTGTACAATTTTACAAAAAATATATTTTAATTAAGGGGTGCTTACAAAACCCTTGAAAGTACATCTAAATAAATAAACAAATATGAAAAAATATATTTTGTTCTTAGTAAACCGAGCTTGGTTGGTAATAAACACGTAAAAATAAATGTAAGGGCCTATTACAATGACATGCAAAATTAAATTATACTCGTATATTGAATCCATATTATTTATGTTGACTTTTTGATTAGTAAAAGCACAGGTAAGATAATATTATATATTAAATGGAACCTAAGCGTTTATTGTAGTTGTATCGCCTACGTATACGTCAAACGACGTGTACGTCAAAAAGAATATTCGATGGATATTTAATTTAATTTCTATTGAATGAATGAATTTAATGAATAATTTATATCGCTTGTTTTGTTCTAATAGGTGTGCTGAAATGCTCTTTATTAAAACCCTTGCTTTTACGACTTGCTCGGCTATAAATCACTTATTACCACCGTGTACCATGTATTATTCAAGTAAATAAGCACTCCTATCGATTTGATAACACAATTGTAAGTTAAAAGTTGACACAAATGGAGTATTGCATTGATGCTGGTGACCGATAAAGTGAAGAGTTTTACTTCGCTTTATCGGTCTTTTAGTTTAGTAGAAGTAATAGACAAGCTGTTACTACTAGTAGGTATCTACTAGTACCATAGTAGCAATCTACTATGGTAAATTAGTGGTAGACCTACTATTACCAAAGTAACATAAAAAATACTATCCATAGCCCATGTTTCAGTATTAAGTATTTTGTTTTCTGTTTGGAAGCAGTATGGAACGGTATATTTTATTATTTGTATTTCTTACAGAGGCACTGGGTAGCGTAGGCAGTACGGCGGGCAGCTCGTGGCCGTCGTCGACGCCAGAGCCATCGCCGTCACCTGTCTCCACGCCTACTTCGGCTGACGCTGCCGACGCTGCTGACGGCGACGTAGAACCGCCCTTCACCCTCGGTGTCACAGAGCACACGCCCTATCAATGTCAGTTCTGCGAAAAAGCTTTCCCTAGATCTTCATATCTTAAGAAACATGAACAGGTAAGACATCGATAAAGTATTAATAATTAAATCTAAATATTTTTTTATTAAATACAAAAAACATGACCTTCGGTGGTAAAAATATATTAATTTAAAAAAATTGCGTAAAACTATTTGACCCAAACTGGTGTACTAGCAATAACAAAGCAAACAAGACCGTAGATATATGGCATCATCAAATCACCTTTGAATGGTCACATAACGTTGCAAGATAATAGGGTTATGTTTATTACCATAAAGTAAGTTGGCTAACACCGACAAAACTACTATTACAGTTGTCATATATCTATGAATTCACAATCCTGTTTTGCCTTGCAGTCTCGGCCTTCATTAGCAACTAGATACCCAAAACGACCCATTTACAGTGTCTGTGCGTAGATATGCATCGCAGCCGCCACGGTGCACCGCGCCGGCTCGTAGGGCTGTGTGACGTGGCAGCCATTACGTTGACCGTACATCTCTCGGTTCCTTTGTGCTTCGCCGATCTTGCCGTGTTACGATTGCGACACGCGGAGATAGATCTAGCTCAGATAGGATAAATAGAAACGTTACTTTGCATAACGCCGCGCTTAAACCAAAATCCACCTATGAGAGGATACGTATCTACACGTACACGTAAAGTGACAAAAAAGCCACCTCGAATTTTAGGGAATCTCTGTAGTTAATTGTGAAATCGTCGATTGAAAAACGTCGCTATGGTATGGGGTTCATTAGATTATCGGTACGCAATTGCATCAACCGTTGCGGCTCTGGAGATATCGATCGATGCATGCGCGAATGCAGGCTGTTGCGGTGATGGTGTTTGCCGACAAATGTATCGGGCGATGATCGCGCACTGCTCGCGCGACAGACCAGTGACGGCCGGAAATAGGCTCGCGATAACAACTCCCTAGTCTGGCAAGCCACACCTTTATCATCGTACTGCGCTTGGGAAAGGCGATCATTATAAGAATAAATCAATTACTGAGTCCACGCATTGCACTCTACAGACACAAACAGTGTTGACGATTGTAGACTTGTACAGGAGTTAACTAAATGTAGTTAGAATTATACTACTCAAGTTGAATTTCTTATAAACGACCAGTCTCTTCTTTTAGAATATAGATACTTAATAGATTAGGTTTAAATGTTTTGCTATATAGTAACTCGTAAAAATACATAAAGTTAATAAACATAATTTTGAAATGTAATATAACCCAAGTCAAATATTTCAACTGCACATGGTGTAAGTACGAGTACATAGAATATTTAGCAACCAACTACTTTTTTTATTTTTTCTTCTTAAAGATGAACATCTTTATTGTGGTGAGTACTTAATAATAATAATGTTGGTAACTACCAGTGAGATAAAGCAGTTACATCATTGAGGTGGCTACTTCGGAGAACTGACCGTTCATGGGAAAATCACATCTTTCGATCTCCTTTAAGATTTTGCAACAGTACTATACGTACATTTGTATACCTATGTAAATTGTTTTATCTAGGGAGCTGGGTTATATAAGAATAAAAGATTAAATTCAATAATAATACAGGTGGTATATTTTAGGATTATTTAGCACCATATTACTTGAAAGTTTTTAAGTTGAAACGTTTTTAAGCGTGTAATTAAAGATAAGATTTATTAACTGCAACAATTTCGAATGTTAGAATGTGCAAAGAACTTCAGTACAATAAAAGTATGTGGTCAAGACAAAATGGTTATTTGCACAAAAACGGAATACGGGTGCCAGTGGCGGGTCGCAGTTGACCTCAGGCCCTCGCCGCCACCTGGCTGTGTGAACCAGCGATGTCGCGTTGTTATTGCACCTGGGAAAGACGCTCAGTAGCCGCCCGTTGCCCATTTTCGTGCTTTTATTGGCTATCACGTTCACCTCAAACTAGTTTGGAATGTGTTTTGGTGAGCATTACGCGGAAGGCATACCACGTTGACTTTATACCGAAGTTATAATTTCGGACGCTCTCACGGTATTCTTTGTGTTTAAATAATATTCTGCGATATTATTTGCGTGTCAATTGACCATAAGCAAAGTGCAGGGACGTGGTGTGACCAGCATGAGACGAGTTGAAAATCTGCTCTTCACCCAGGAGATGGGCTCCCGCGGCGACTGTAGCATAAATTGAGTTCTCGCACGAAGAATTGTGATGACCTGCCGTGATTTTATTTAATAATAACTATATAACTTGTAATATATAACTACGTAATAAACAAAAATAAAGGAGAGTAATGTCTTAGAGCATTGTATTATCACGTTCTAAAACCATGCCATCCTTTGTTATCACTTTACGTATTGGGGAGTTAAACAAGTTGACAAGACGTACCAATACTATGTATCTTCAACTCTAACTATGCCCAAGCCATCTTAAGCTTAAAAATCTGCATTAAGGGTAACAGTAGAAGTTTAAATTATTAATCCATACTAATATTACAAAGGGAGAGAGCGGAGAGATTTTGTTATGAGAAAACTAACTTGAATACCGATTTGAGAAATTTCTTCACTATTTCAAAGATGCTCATCATTTTAGAGTGAGATACGAGCCTGTTGACATAAACAAAATTCACAAACTTAAAAAGATCTTAGTCGATTAAATTGCACTGCACTCGAGCAAGTCTAGACGACTAGCAAAATTACTTTTTTCCATGTTGTTAAAAAAATATTCAAACGTAGTCCAAAGGTGCTTGTAATAAGAATTTAGTTCTGCCGCTTTCTTTTTGATTTTTTTTACGATATTTAATTTAATACTTATGAGATAGAATTCAATAAAAGTACCTGCATTTTTTAAGCATATTATTTCGTCTAAAGATATTATCGTAATGGAAAAGAATACAATTTATGAATTAGTGTTTTGCTTAGCTACATGCATATCTAGATATTTTTTTACGGTAAAAGAAGCGCGTGGGCTGGGCGCTGCGCTGGCTGGACGACGGCACGATTTATCGCATGCTGACGATCGGATTTATTAATTCTGTCGGAGGCCGATTGCTCCAATTAAGCGAGCGGAGTAAACAAGCCGCGCGGGCAAGTTTATGCGTTGCGCCTGGACTTGCACCAACCAGCCGCTTGAGCACTTCGCAGTAACACTCGTGCGTCACTCAACCCTAATCACAACAAACGATTTAGATATCACTTGCGACAAGCACCAAGATATTTATTACACAAAGCTGCTGCTTTGATCGACATTGATGAAGATTCAATATTCATTCGTCTAATTAGATAAGATCTCTTTTATATTCTACAAGGGCTGGAAGGGTACATTGATCTAGAGTTCGGTGGTTCATGGGACAGACAGAGAAACAAGAGGAAACACATTTTTCTTACTTTAACCCCTTTTATAATTTATTATAATAACGTATCCACGCCGGCTTTAGACATTGCCCTCTATCTAGCTTATGATCTCTCTAAGCAACACTTTGAATTGAATTAGGCATAATAATAAAACTGTATTTAGTTGTAATATAATTAAAAAAAACTTAAAGTGGGGTTCATGAAATGCTTTACAGGACATCCGACACGACATATATTCTTTCACAAGACGAAGCAGAGTGATTACCATTTTTGTTAAATCGAATATCATCATCTCGGAAGACGTCCACTGCTGAACATAATTAATAACTTAATTCGAATATAAAATTACTTAATTCATAAATTTGGTCTGCAATTTTATAATATGAACCTGGTATCTAAGTTTGTACTTTGGCATTCTCCAATGCTACACTTTTGCCTCTTGTTATTAGTGAAATTATATACATATAAAAAAACATTTTAAATGCTTCTAGATAGCTAATGATAATTTAAATATAGTTAAAACACTGGATGACAGTTCTAAATGCCATAATTAAAATAAATAATCATCTTTACTACAGAAAAATTGCGTTAGGGCTGGATGACATGAATCAGCATCATTAAATTCGATTTACTGATAAATTCTAAGTGCACACTCAATACGCGTAGGTACTAATCAAAATGTACGGAAGCAATAGAACTTCATTAAAAGCATGACGATTTAAATTATACTAGATGCTAGCCCCGGCTTCGCACAGTAAATTTCTTTTTATGTGGATATTATATAACCAAGTTTGGCGTACGATTTTTTAAACATTTGCTCTTTTTTCTTACCAATCAGAATAAAAATAAATCAATAAAACATATGCAGGTATTCTGACATTATGTGAAATACGGCAATAGAATTGTGTAATTTTTTGCATTATATTGCAAATATAATTTGCAATATAATAAATATATATTTGCAAAATAACGTGACGAGGCGAAATTGTTTGTTTGCGTGTTAAGATATGAAAAAGTCGCTGTAGGAATTACGACGAAATTTTCACAGAATATTGTTCAATATAGAGCTGATATCGACTTTGTTTTTATACTATCTGAATATTTTAGTCAATTACACACAAGTGTCAATTTATACAATTACAAGAGTAGATAGTTCGTGTTACTGTTATTTCATGTAAAAACAACTTTAAAATATTTAAAATTTGCAATGTAAAATATATATTAGATATCGCCCGAATTATAGAAATAATGTAGGTAAGTCTTCCTGATGTAGGTATAGAATCGTATAGCAACATATCTTAAAAAGAAAATCAATTACCATTATTAAATTTTATCTCGTGTAAAATCTACCTTATTTATGTCGCAGTAAAAATTCTATTTTATACGATAAGGTGGGTCGTGTATTCTCGTAATATATACAATAGCGTTAAAATGACAATGTACCGATTACTTTTCATTTCTTGCCGTAATAACAAGGTATAATAATAGTAATCATTGGAATAGGTAGGTGACGGAAGGTTTGCTGGCATGGCGTGGCACATTGGCGCTAACAAATAGAGATGCGCCACTAATGGCGTCGGCAGACGGCTTCCCATGGTAATTGGGGGCGCACGAGACCGCAAACCCTCACTAAACTAACAACACTGCTGTTTAACATTTTGTATGATGTATTATACACGTATAAAAGCCACTTTCACATTTTTATCGGTGGTTCCACATAAAGGAATTATTAGAGTTAGTATGCGGCAAATATACGTACAGGTCGGCTAAGACTTTTCCTTGTGACGCTAATTTCAGCATTGGACTATTATAATAATGTTAGGTAAATATTATATGTGATGATTATATAAATTGTGTGAAGATACATACATTATTAAAAATATAAATCATATACCTTCTAATACAATATGTTTTATATACATATATGGCATAACAACATATCGTCATCACTGTTCCCAGAAACGGCATTGTCAACTATCGATGTTGTGGTGAACGCAATACTTGACTTTTCGTAATGGTAACGTGGCAGAGGGCGAGCATACTACTTATACCACCACATACCACATAATACGGTGTTTTCTTCACCGGAATATCAATCATAAAGATTTTTAGTGTCAGTTCGATTTAAACGCACAGCGTCTTAGATGTCAATCAAGCTAGTAAAACACTAGGCCACAATGCTTCTAAACAAAAATATTGACAATATAGGTTATGTTATAAATGTAATACCTATGTTATATTGTAATTATTATCATTTACATTAATAGATTTATAGTTATTGATTATATCAGCAAAATAAATAAGTTCTTATCCGCGATTTCAATTAATAATTTTACCACAACTAAAATCAGTGATGTTTTCAATTTGGACTTCTATGTACATTTAGTTAGACTTCAAATGTGCCTGCAGACAAATAGACGATTCGCTCTAAATATAATATTAACATTTTGGTTTGTCATACTAATAGAACTTTTGTAAAAATATATTTAGCATAATGTCTACAATTGACCAGAAGTCAAGCCACATGGAACGTTTGTTTAGTATTATCCTGAATGAGTGCCGAGTCAGGTGGTCAATTAGTAAAAGCGTGAACTGCCTGTCAGTTTGGGAGCCTATTATGCTGTTGAGCTAGTCTCCACAGCGGTTCATGGTGGTGCGAAGGCCGACGCCTCCCATTATCTCGCTGCCAGCGACGATTCATAAACGCTGCATTAGCATACTAATTTCGTATGCACTACAGATATATGAATAATCCACTTGAACTGCTACTTTACTATTTCAACTAATATTTTTAGACAAAGTTACAAATTGAAATGTTTATTTTTGGTTACATGAAGTCACTTATGCTCTTTTTACATTTTTAGACGTATTAATTCTTCACTATATTGACGTCAATCCCTCATATTTAGCGATAGAAGGCCTGATAATATCATATCACGATAATCATAATTTCACCTATTTATTTCTTTCACCCACTGGCTTCATGGAGCCATACGGCCCGTCCACTGGCACTAAGCACTGCTTCGATCTATATGAACACTTAATTAATAAAATAAATTTTATCTATGTTATAAAATACTGATTTTTATAATATAGATACTTAAGTAGCTAAAATATTCTTTATGAATATGGTTTTTTTTTTACCTATTTGGACTGAGATTTGAGTGGCACAAACCTTTTACCTCTATCTTTTACTTACTTTACTTTACTTTTATTTCTACCGATTAATCCCCAGTTTCAATCAAACGGGGGTCGAAATTATAATGACCTGAACATAGGTCTATTTCTATTTCTATTTAGGTTTTCGCAGATATATTGAAATTGACTCTTCTATTACATACTCTATATCTTCTATATAGATAAGTTGACTCTTCTCTTAAACATCACTCATCTGATACTCAGTCGTATTTATGTGAAATGAACAAAAGTAGAGTTATTATAGTTCCTATTTTGGGAAAATAAGCGGTCATCCTAACTACATAGAATAGGCGGCTTCATACAGGTATTATTAACAAATTTTCTATTTTAGCAACGTATTTATATCTTGTTCTTCTAGTTGTCTATTACAATGGGAATAAAAAGGAGGGACATATTATATTGATATGTTACAATAATGAAACTGGAATCTTACTTCATAACGGTAACCTTATTCGCAGCAATTAATTAAGACAGTTAGTGATCACAGCGTTCGGATATTAACTATTAGGAAAAGTTCTTGAATTAAATAACTTTGTAGTCTTGTAATGCTTGTGATAATATCTATTGACCGAAACGAGTGAAAAATAGTTGGGTGAACAATTAACTTATCAACGATCGATCCATCGTCAAGTCACAGGCGATTCACGATATTATTGATGTCTTATTCGAATGTCACGATCGACCTACCGTCTCGGCATTTTTTACTTACTATTGACATAAATGCCGATCGTCTATGAGTTCGGGGGCTCATGCGGGCTATCGGTACGCGGCTCGCGGTCGTCCCAGTAGTGGGAGCCCATTGTTAGTGGAGCGTTCTCACGATGGTTTTTTGATCAATGCATCCGAAGTTATTTCGTTTAATCATTGTATGACTTACACATTTTAATCGCTACTCATACCGAGTCATATCGTAGATAACTTAAGCTGCTCTACTGAGTAATGTATCTCAGTTGACTGACTAGAATATGCTCAAAGTGATTATCACATTTTGATTTCACAAACCTAGGTACATAAGATTGTGTATATTTGTGCATATGCACAACATCATATGATGTTGTGCTATTTTTATTCAATTTTCATTGAAAAGAGAAAATATGAATATTGAGACAGATTTAAGATTTCATATCGTTTAAGTGGAAAAAAATAATTTTGTCCATTAAACTGCATTGATATAATATGATCAATTAGGTTAGGAACATCCTTTATTATGACAAATCCCAAATATTTTTAGATAAAACTAATATTATATTTGATAAAATATCTCTAAAACTAAAGATATTTATAATTCTATTATATTCTATTTTGTATTTCTTATGCATTAAATAAAGACCTTTTTTTCCTTTAATTAACCTACATTTTATAATTATATAATTGTTTAGTAGGTTGTAATAGATTTTATTCTCCATTTTTAACCCTAAAATAATAATAATCTTAAATATTTTTTTAAGATTATTTTTTTATGTAAAACATAATCATAATATGTATTTCATTTAAATAAATACTTTATTTATATGTTTTATTTTTGTTTATCCATAGACACATTCGGATCAACTTCCTTTCCGTTGTGAATTCTGCACGCGGCTGTTCAAACATAAACGCTCACGAGATCGTCATGTGAAACTTCATACTGGAGATCGCAAGTATCGCTGTGCACATTGTCCTGCTGCCTTCTCTAGAAGGTGAGAACTTACATTAGGTACAAGTAGGTACATATAAATAACAACAGGGGTAGATTTAGCACAATATTTTCTGCAAGGTCTTATCTATTTCTGTGACTAAATAGCATGCTTTTTTAAGTTGTGTTCTGGTTTGAAGAATATCAAGTGATATGGCAGTGATATACGGATGAATAGTTAATAAGTTTTGCAATTAGCGGGACATACCTGAAAAAGACAAGCGCCGAATTGGATTCGATGGCTAATGCGAAAACTCTAGTAGAGTTCGCCATCCAAACAAGACAACTTTAACGTTCCAGTGTCAATTAATTAAATAAGATTATCATAAATATATTGTAAGATAGATTATTAATTAAATTCTAATATTATTATTATTAAGATCTGCAATTGCTCCCACTTTTCTAAAACTGTCTTTATAAGCCGCCTTTTTTACTGTAATCACACCGCTTGTTTTAATGATACTAATGATGTTGACATACACGTGTTTCTACTTACTTGATATCACTAGACTTAATTAATGTAGTAAATTATAAATCAACTAAAATTCTGTCATAAGATATTGTGGAGAGAGCTAATGCTGCGTATATAAAAATATATAAATAGTGCTTTAACCTGCATATTAGACTACCAAATTGAAAAATGTGAGTTGTCTATAACCATTTCAGTGTGTGTACAAGGAGAATATTAAATGCCTCTAATACGTAGCTGTTGCGAAGGCTAAGTGAACAAGCGTCTACTCGAGACGATGCTGGAGAGGTGCACATACAATAGCCACACAGAAAGATTGATCACCGTGCGTCCGGGCACAAAGCTCGCTCGTCGCTATGAGGCGACACGTCACCTTTTTCGTCACCTCGCCGCGGTCACGTGACTAATTCTACGCAATTTGTCGGCCCAACGAACCGCCGACGAGTGAAAAGACATGATGTGCTGACAAATGGCGTCGAGGGTCTCACAAAAATGAAATAATGGCCCATACCTAACCCGGCACGGCGAGCGCGGCCATTAGCGGAGGTGTTTGGGCGAACGCCTCTATTCTATACTTTGCGTGAAAAGCCTCTTTGTTAGTTCTGTTTAGTTCGTGTGCTTTATGTGGGTACTTATGTCTCATATGACAAATCGCCGTCTCTGGTCACACAAAGACGATTTATCTCATTTAATTTTAAATTCTCTGATGTTTTCGAGGCGCATTTTTATGTACGTAAATGGCTTCTCCGTCATTAAAGTTTTTTTAGTATAAAGAAGACATCGAATGATGAAAAGTTTGATAATGTTCAATTTTGTGGCTACTAATATAATAAATCTTATTATTGTTATTTCAGTGATCATTTGAAAATCCACATGAAAACGCACGACAATCAGAAGCCGTTTCAGTGTACGGTATGTAACCGGGGTTACAATACGGCGGCTGCGTTAACTTCTCACATGCAGGGCCACAAACGTGATCGCGAGGGTCGGGAACCTGAACGACGTCGCGTATTACGCTGTTTGCGCTGCGGCGACGCCTTCCGACGTCCAGATCTGCTCCAGGTACTTGTTAAATAACTTTTTATAGTCACATGTATCGTATTACTATTTTAAATTCTATTCGTGTCTATATACAATCGTGACATCAGACAGGTCACCTTACTTGTCGTTCGATACTTTTATAAAAAAAAACTAGCTGTCCCGGCAAACGTTGTGTTGCCTTAAAATAAAAAAAAAATTAGGGGTGGACTACCCCTAACATTTAGGGGGATGAAAAATAGATGTTGGCCGATTCTCAGACCTACTCAATACGCTCAAAAAAATTTCATGAGAATCGGTCAAGCCGTTTCGGAGGAGTATGGGAACGAAAACTGTGACACGAGAATTTTACCGGTGTAGAAGTATGAAACCGGAATTTCCCTATAGATGGTGCCCGCTATCAGTTTAAAGACCACAAGACCGCTTCTGTAGCTTCATCTTCTTCCTCTAACAGCTGATGAAGTTTGTCAACATAGAATAACCCAAGTTTCATATACCGGTATATTTTTCCATAACCTCAAACATGTCAAGTTTTGTACCTACGAATTATGATTTGCGGACAGCTTTGGTTTTCTGCTATCATTTGAAGAAAACTGCTGCAGAATCGCATAGAATGCTTGTCGAAGCATATGGTGAACATGCGCTTGGGAAAACTCAATGCTTTGAGTGGTTCAAAAAATTTAAAAGTGGTGATTTTGACGTGAAAAACGAGGAGCGTGGGAAACCACCGAAAAAGTTCGAAGACAAGGACTTGCAAGCCTTATTGGATGAAGACGATACTCAAACTCAACAAGACCTCGCGGAACAATTAAATGTGACGCAAAAAGCAGTATCTCTTCGTCTGAAAGCTATGGGAAAGATTCAGAAAGTGGGAAAATGGGTACCACACGAACTGAACGAAAGGCAGCAAGAAAATCGAAAAACCACTTGCCAAATGCTGCTTGTCAGATTTAAAAGAAAATCATTTCTTCATCGAATAGTGACAGGTGATGAAAAGTGGATATATTTTCAGAATCCTAAGCGTCATAAATCATGGGTGAATCCAGGCGAACCATCAACATCCACTGCAAGACCAAATCGTTTTGGAAAGAAAACAATGCTATGCGTTTGGTGGGATCAAAAGGGTATAATATATTATGAGCTACTAAAACCTGGTGAAACCGTTAACACTGATCGCTACCAACAACAAATGATCGATTTAAATCGAGCAATACTTGAAAAACGACCGGAATATGCGAAAAGACAACACAAAGTAATTTTGCTTCATGATAATGCCCCCTCACACACAGCAAAACGGGTCACGGATACGATCGAGGCGTTCAATTGGGAAATACTAGCCCATGCGGCTTATTCTCCAGACTTGGCTCCATCTGATTACCATCTATTCGCATCATTGGGACATGCACTTGCTGAGCAACACTTCGATTCGTATGAAAATGTACGAAAATGGCTTGACAACTGGTTTGCTTCAAAGGAAGAGTTTTATTTTTGGCGTGGCATTCATAACCTGCCGAAGAGGTGGGAAAAATGTATAAATTCCAATGGATCCTATTTTGAATAAAATAACTTTTAAAATTTTCAAAATACAAACATGCAATTTTTACAAAAAAATTCCGGTTTCATACTTCTACACCTATGTATATATAAGATATAGTGAGTTCAAGTTGCTGGGTAAATCTGGTGGTGCTAGTATTGTTAGCCGTGGACATAACTTTATATTACATCATGTAGATTTTTAATTTAGTTTTACTAATAAATAATCGTATATTTTTATAAAATATAATAAAATAAGTGATAATTATTAAGTACCAGTGTTTGTTGAAGATTATATCAAGATTTAATTCTTGAAATTCATGCCCGTTCGTCAACTTGTCAAACGGGGTCAACGGCAGCGAAATTCGAAAATCTTTGGATAAACCGGGGAAGTATTGTGTTTATTACCTTTGCTAAAGTAATCTATTTAATGATATAAATTACCTCGTAATAATAATACTTTGATGTTAATCTAAATAATTAAGGTTGTCAACAAATTCATCACATATCCTAACGTTTGTTCCTTGGAATTTACTTTATTTATAGGAAAACAAGTATTTAGTTTTTACAATTCTTTTTCACTCCTTTTGACTGTAAAGTAATATTAGAAATATTAGAGATTCATATTGGAAATGTTTAAATCATAGTCTCAAACAACAAAATACGTTACTAACTACCTACATAATAGTATTTTTACTACATTTATTTTGTTTTTACTGTACTCCCTAATAATTCCTATAGTATATTCTCAATTAATTAATATATAAGTATAATAATTCATAACTATAAATACATTATTAAATTGTCAAGTAGTCTTTAAATTTTAACTCCCTAATCTGCCATACTAAATTCTATATTTGAGATACTCATCCTTTCTTTGCTATGTTTCCAGTAAAAATGGTGACACGCAGTAAGGATTTGGATATGAAATTGAAGAGGGCTTTACAGGAGTTAAAAGAAAAGAAGGAACTATGTGACAAACTAATTCAGGAACGAGATGAGGGAGAGATAGAAATTTCAAATATAGTACACAAAAATTCTATATTGAAGCAAAACTTGGCTGAACTAGACTGTAGATTACAAAATTTACAAAAAGAACGGGATCATCTACAGTCTGTTGTCGACTCATTTGACCAGTGCCGGAATGCTCATGACAGTGCACTCAACCGCATCCATGAGTTAGAATGTGAACTGTCATTAGCTTATAACAATATAAACACATTGACCACAAAAATGGGAGACCAAGAGGCAGAAAAGACGATGACACTGTATGCCGAGTTAATAGAACAAAGTGTATGTGATGAGACTGCCACTATCCACTCCATCTCTAATACACAGAAGCCTTTTATACAACACAAGCAACTATATTACCCTATAGTTAATCACAGAAATAGTAAGAAGTATAGAAAACTAAACAAACAAATTAAAAAATTAAGAAAATCTTTTAAAATTAATCGAATAACCTTCTCAAAAATATTAAAAGAAAAAGAATTAAATTTTGAAAAACAATTAGAATATTATGAAAATGAGTTCTGGACCCATAAACTACAATTTGATACGAATACTACAAGATTATTGTTGCATATAAAAGAACTGGAAGCATCATTGGATGCCATTAGTGACAAGTACTCACAAGCTCAATTTCAAATTTCAAAGCATAATGTTGTGATGAAGGAATTGCTTGAATTTAACTCTAAAAGTGAATGTGAAACATCAGACCACCTAGCACAGCAACATTCAGACTTCAACACTGTGTCGGGCAATTACTCCTCACCCACATCGACATCCATCATCAATACAGAACAAACTAATGTGCTACCCAGTATTGTTAGTAGTAACCACACATGTATGAGTAACACAGTAATATATTCAGATAGCATGGGAATAAATCTAGGATCACTTATGCATACCTGTTTGAGTGAACATATCCAAAATAATTGTATGCCAAATGCCCCATTTAATTATATAGTCAATAGAATGGTAAATAACCAAAACAGTTATACTAAATACACAACTCTTGTGTTATTCATTGGGAATAGTTTAAGTATCACTAAAAATGACTTGATATTCTTATTTAATTCTGTCTCGAATATGAGAATTAAAAAATTTATTATATGTACATTACCTTATTCAAAGTCATTATCCAAGAATAGAAATAATAATATTTTTAGACTTAACACTCTTATATACAACATGAGCTGTTATAATAGCAATATTCATTGTTTTGATATAAATAATTTTGTAAAGAATGTTACATTGACTAAAAATACTTTGTATTTGTCACATTTTGATAAAAGACATATAGCTACTTTGTTAGCTCATAATATACACAATCCTGTTATAAGTAGTATAACGGGTACTTATCCTGACTGCACAGTTTTTAGTAGTTTTACTAATGTTTCTGTGCAAGAATCTTTAAACTTAAGTTACAGACAAAGAGAAAGCCATCACAACTAAATTTATTACATCAAAATATTCAAGGCTTTCTTGGCAAAGAATTAGAGATAGAATTATTTATAAGTAAATTTAATATTGACATTGTATGCCTCACAGAGCATTGGTTAAAACAGTCCAACATGTTATTTCAGTTACCAAATTATGAAATATTGAGTACTTTTACACGGCAAATTTCAATTAGAGGGGGTTCAATTATTTTATTAAAAAATAACATTAAAGGGAAAGAACGTAAAGATATTGTAGCACTTTCAAATGAATGCATTATAGAATTATCATGTGCAGAATTAGAGAAACACATAATTATATGTGTGTATAGGCCTCCTAACTCAGACTATGAAAAGTTTGAGTCCACCATGGAAGATGTACTGAAGTTAGCATTCAAAAGTAACAAATTTATTTTGGTATGTGGGGATTTCAATATTGATCTTCTTGTTGATAATCCTGTGAGTAATAAAATTAGAAACCTTTTTAAAAGTTTTGATCTTGATCATATTTTCTTTGAACCTACTAGGATTACATCCACTACGGCAACATGTATTGATAATATATATTGTAATTTTAGTATTTTAAATAAATCGATTATAAATAGATTGCCGTCAGACCATTGTGGACAAATAGCAACATTCGCATGTAATGAAAAAAATGAGATTATGTATAAGTTCTGCAGACCAACAACAGCATTTAAATTACAGAATTTTAAAAACAGATTAAATGGAAGTTTACCGTTTTTGATATTTGATAATATTGATCCAAATATATCATATAATCGTTTTTTCAATATAATAAAAAATCATTTTGATAAAAATTTTACAGTAAAGAAACTTAAAGTCAGTAATTCTAAGTACGCTGAATGGTCTACATTAGGTATCAATATAAGTAGGGAAAATATGTATCAATTATATGATATTAGATCCTATTTGCGTGATCCTATATTCGATGAATATGTCAAAAATTATTCAAAGTTATTCAAAAAAGTATGTAAGGTCGCCAAGGCACTTCATTTAAAGAATAAAATTAAGTTTTCTAAAAATAAAATAAAAACTACCTGGAATATAATAAATACAGAAACAGGTAACATTAAGTCGTGCCAGTCAGAATATGAGTTAAAAGCAGAAAATGGCGTTATTATTGATAATAAAGAACTAGTTGCTCAAACTTTTGATAATTTCTTTTCAACAATACCTCTCAAAGCTACGGAAAATTTAAACTCATCACCTAGTTTAGCTGAAACATTATTAAAAAATACCATAAATCCTTGCGTTCATGACTTTACTTTTCATCATATCAGTTGCTCCTGTGTAATAAAAACGTTCAACGCTCTCAATCTAAAAGGAACTGAGGATATCTGGGGTATGTCAGTTAGAGTAATGAAAACTGTAATAAGTGAAGTTGCTTCACATTTGACTGAAATATTTAATATGAGCATTGATCAAGGTATTTTTCCAGATCTAATGAAAGTGAGTAAAATAATACCGCTATTTAAATCCGGTGACAAAGACAATATATCAAATTTTAGACCTATCTCAATTTTACCAGTATTTAGTAAGATTTTTGAAAAGATACTACTTACACAAATGTTAGCTCATTTTAATACACATGATTTATTTCATAAACAGCAATTCGGATTTATGAGTGGACGGTCTACTACTGATGCAGGCATTAACTTAATACAAAGTATTTTCGGTGCCTGGGAAGATTCACAGGATGCCATTGGTGTCTTCTGTGATCTCTCTAAAGCGTTTGATTGCGTTGACCATAGGATATTATTACGCAAACTAGAACATTATGGAATTAGAGAAAAGTCCTCAGAACTCATTGGATCATATTTGCGCGATAGAATTCAAGTGGTAGACATTAAAGGAAGTAAGTCCAAGGGGTCATTTATAAAAATGGGTGTACCCCAGGGTTCTATACTTGGCCCATTTCTTTTTCTTGTTTACATAAACGACTTACCATACCAGTTTCAAAACATACTTGACATAGTATTGTTTGCTGATGACACATCACTTATTTTCAAAGTGAAAAGAAATACAAAGGATTTTAATAATATAAATATTGCTCTTGAGGATGTTCTAAACTGGTTTACATCAAATAATCTAGCGCTTAATTCAATGAAAACAAAATGTGTTAAATTCTCTTTACCAAATGTAAAACAAGTAACGACAACTGTTAGTCTGAATCATCATGTTTTGGACTTTGTTGATGAGACTTCGTTTCTTGGTATTGTAATAGATAATAAATTGCAGTGGGGTCCACATATATTCACATTAGCCAAAAGACTAAGCTCGGCTGCTTTTGCTATCAGAAAAATTAGACAGTTGACTGATACTGCAACAGCGAAACTAGTGTATTTTAGTTACTTCCATAGTATAATGTCGTATGGTATTATATTGTGGGGAAGAGCGGCTGATGTAGAATCAATTTTTATATTACAAAAAAGAGCAATTCGTTCAATATATAATCTACCGTGTCGCGAATCTCTTAGAGAACGCTTTAAAGAAACAGGTATCCTTACTGTTCCCTGTCAATATATATATGAAAATATTATGTACGTACGCAAAAACTTAAATTTATTTCCAAAAAATAGTCACTTACACGCTTATAATACAAGGAATAAAAATAAATTAAATATGCCTAGTTATCGTCTCAAAAAAGTAAGTACATCTTTCATGGGACATTGTATACGTTTTTATAATAAATTGCCAGATAGTGTTTTAAATTTAAGTGAAGGCAAATTTAAGATACATGTAAAAAAAACACTTTGCTCTAAAGCTTATTATAAAATAAACGACTACTTAAATGACTACAATGTGTGGACTTAATTACAATTTTAACTTTTGTTATGAGGCATATAATTTTTCCCATTGACATGGATAATGTAATAACATTAAAGAAACTTATTATAAATGATTTTTTATAATTTGTAATGACATATTGTAAATTAAATAATGTAAATTTAATATTGTAATGGGTGAAAACTGTGATCGGTACAGCCTATGCTGTAAATAATATAATTGACGTAGTGGAGTAACCTGAAACAGTCATGCTCGCTATAAAGTTCAAACTTGTGGCGGCGTGGTGGGCCGGGTCGATGTGCTCCCTCAAATATGGTTGAGTACAATGATGGCTGGCTCATACGTCATACTCGTGAACGGGTGCTACTTGTGGGGACTGGTCTGTTCAGGTTGTGAACACTGATTAAATTTTTTATTCTTTGCGATAGCATATGCTGGTGGTCACTCTATTCTCCCAAATTTGAATTTTAAAAACTATATTTATTATAAACATGTTCCACTATTATTTGAAAAAAATACGAGCTGAGTTTCTTGTCAGTTCTTCTCATCTCGATATCATTCCGAACTGACGGTAGATTTGACATATCATAAGAGTCTGTAATAGACCTACATGAATAAAGATATTTTGAATTTGAATTTGAATTTGTAGTGAAACTTTGTAGGCGTTTTAATGTACAACATTGTACGTACAGTTACATGCACTAATATGTGAACACTTTTAGTATTTTATCACAGACATTATTAACTATAAAAAATTCTGAGCATTAACTTAATCTACATACACACGTAACGAAGTAATATCAACTTGCAGATACTTTTTGAATAGGATGTTAGTAATGTCAACATAATAACTACATAACAATGATTCAATCTAGACCTAATATATGGATTGGACTGTTGTAATAGTTGCACCACTTGGAAGCATGGGACAAGTACAGTAATTATAATTCTAATGCAGTTTTGCATACCATAAACATCTGTTTTATTTAAAAAGTATATATAAGTATTTATATAGTACCTATGTATTCGAAAAGTAAAACTCATGCTTATCATTCCTAATAAGTAAAGAATAGCAGTTTAGTGAAAACTAAGTTTTAATTTAAAGTTTATTGCATATTGGAGGTATTACTTAATTTTAATTATATTTATAATATTAATAATTTTTATTAATAATTATAATTGTTTTTATCATCCAGGCTCACATGGTAAATGCGCACGGCGTCGAAACAGCAGCTATGACTCCACCTCGACGAGTAGCATCACAGCCACCGCCCACCCTTTTAGCTTGCATATACTGCACTCGTGATACGTTTACCAGTATGGAACAGCTACAATTACATGTTCGTGCTGCCCATTCTGCATTGTTAAACGGCGAGACGCCATTACAAACTGTGGACCAACCAGCACCCACTGATCTTAGTAGACGGGCGCCAGAGGAAGCAGTGCCGCCCGTCAAGCGACCGCGTTCTGGATCTGGTACACCACAAACAGCATTGTCACCGAATACCCTGCTGTGCAATCAGTGCGGTGCTGCACTGCCTGATTTTGAAGCATTTCGGGAGCATCTAAAAGGTCACTTGGAAGAGGGTGGTGAGCTGAGTCGGTCCAGTCCAGCTCCGTGTCTGCACTGTGGGGCAACGTTCGCCGATGCTGCGGCTTCAGAACGTCACCTGGCATCTTATTACCTAGCTATCTCCTGCGAATACACATGCCACAGCTGCGCTCGCACATTTTCAGCGCCAGATGATTTACAAAAGCATCTTCTTGATATGCATTCACAGAATTTATATCGATGTGCCTTGTGCAAAGAGATCTTCGATTCGAAAGCGGCTATTCAGGTAAGCTTTATTTTTTAAATTACTATAGATCTTGTTTTACGACAATAACGATTGTCCACATATAGACAAAGTAGGAACTGCTTTCATCCCAAGGATGTCGTAAAAACTATCCATGTGCATACATAACGGTGCAAAAAATTAAATCTGGAAATTAAACCTAATACCATATGGTCTGGCTTGTCTGGCAATGATAGTGCCATGAATTCTTCTCTCATTAGTAAAAAAGCCATAGATAATAAAGAGTAAATATAGTGAATAAAGTATAGCTTACAGTGGAGGTTGTCTGAACTTTTCAACTTCCAATGTACTCCCGTACTGAAAAGGATGAAAAACACTTGTGTTTAATTGTTATTTTCATGAACGATGAAGAAATGTTGCATCAGCCTCTTATAATGATATAAGCTAGCGGCGGATCTGAGAAATATGATTAGTATAAGAATGAAGTCAGGTTGTAAAATTACAAGATAGGAGGCATGTAACACGTGGGTGGTATCAGAGGTGCCCATGGTAACGTGAAATCCGTAGTACTTTTCATGATTATAGGCGTCGGTTATGGCTTACCATCAGATGAGCTGTCGCGCCATCATGTTTGCCCTTCCAATTACATAAAATAGGTCATTTAGCCCATCGTAACAAATTTACCATGAACGTTTTCCAGAAAGGACCGTGTGGACCTGACATATTAGCAATAATGTCCTAGCAATGGGTCCTACTAGTTCTTATTAGTAATAATACCCCAGTTTTGTACTTATTAATATTTTAATAGAAAATGTTGCTTCAGGTTCATTTCGCGGTGGCACACAGCGGTGAGAGTAAGGTGTGGGTGTGCCGGTCATGCGGCGGCGGCGCGGGAGCGCTGCGTTCAGAGGCGGCGGCAGCGGCACATGTGCGCACACGGCACGCTGCCCCGCGATGCGGATGCGGGGCCACTCGTGCGCCCGCGCACCGACCCTATCGCTGTCCCGCACCTGCCTGTGCGCACACCTTCGCCGTGCACTATTTGCTCGAGCGCCATCTGCAGACGCATCATGCGCCGCCGCAGGTACCATATGTCCTCAAAATTCGTATAAAATCCCCCCAATAGTCAGGTTTAGAGAGAAATTTGCACACTACAGATGTTTGTTCACTTGCCAATATTGTAATTTTATCACAATACTGACGATTATTGTTCAGACCTCCATGGACGGTCCATATAATTAAAATTTTGGCGATACACTCTCTTATCTTCTTACAAGCGATATATAGTTAATTCTGATGGAACCCTATTTTATCTCCTTCCTATGTATGTCGTAACAATTGTAATAGATGGTTTTTCTAGAAGTTATTTGTAATATCATGACACTCAATCGACAGGAAATACGCTCTAATACTTTACAACCTTAGATATTGTTTAAGAGAAATTTTCGAATTTGAATATAAAGGTTGCAAAATGAGCTTCCTGTCGATGTTATGTCTAGATATTATCTAGTCTCATACATCGTGGTTTTCCCACTCACTGTACAGTAATGACTACTAGTTTTAGTAGGAGCTATAATTTTGTGACATTTGAAATCTGTATCTATTTGTAAAAACTTTTCAAATTTGTACTAAGTATTATGGTATTATTCTAGGCTTTAAATGGAGATATTGCGCGGGTGAAACGTGTAGAAAACAACAACGCCAATGAAGGCATTGATGGCGAGTGTTCGCCCTGTACTACAGCCCCGGAGGGTAACGCAAATGGAACCGGCGTAGTTCCTGAAGAGCGACGGCGTAAGAACGGTGCAGTGGCGCTGCAGTGCGCGTACTGCGGCGAGCGCACGCGCAGCCGCGCCGAGCTTGAGGCACACACGCGGGCGCACTCGGGCGCCGCCACCGCCAGGCACAAGTGCCTCATTTGTGATGAAGTGTTACCCTCCGCTGGGGTGTTGGCTGAACATAAACTTACTCATTGCAAGGTAAGTTAGTATTAGACATAATTTAATCTTAATTTATTTATTGATAATAGGAAGGAACACCTGTTTATAATGTTATTTATATCCCAATTTATATTTGATTCCTATAATAACGTCCGAACGTCCCAGACGTTCAAAGTACAAAATTGCATTCGCTCAAAAAAGGAAACAAATATCTGTTGGCCATTTCAACATTAATATTTTTTTATAAAATTGTTTAAGGTTGTGGCTGGAGACACGTGCGCAAGGTGTCGTGCGAGACTACCGTCCGAAGAGTCATTTCTCACGCATATGGCGCGCCATCATCCCGCACTGCCTGCGCCATGTGTCGTCTGCAGGCAGACTCTTGCTTCCGAGGCAGAAGCACGACTTCACGCGAGATTTCACTTACGGCCCGCCGAAGACGAACAAAGATGTGCTATATGTCTTAGAGCGTTGCCTGAAGGAGAATCAGGAGAGGGCGCTCGTGCATGTTCTGCATGCTACGCACGTCATGCCGCGCCACGACCACCGCCTCCAGCCGATCACGATTGTCGTTTATGCCGTCGAGCCCTCGGCTCCCCTACTCGACTACAAGCGCATCTCATTGAGCACACTTTCGCTGGTATAGATACTTTTACTTGTTACTTATGTCGGGCAGTATTCACGAGTGCTGTAGGTTTACAACGGCACTTACCTGAACACGCTGATGTCCCGAGACCTTTTGATTGTGGCCGCTGCGGTCTAAAATTTTTTTTCCGTGCAGAGAGAGACAACCATGCTTTCGTTCACCTCGAAGAAGCAGAAATTGCTCAGAGGGCTTTCTATGAAGCATATGCTAGAGGTGCAGCATCGGCATGGGCTGCGTTAGCTCCACCGGAATCTTCACAGGTTACTACCCCTACTACGGTAGAAGTGAAACAAGAGCCTGAGGTAAAGGAGGAGCGGAATAATGACGAGTATATTGAGGTATCGTCTCCTCCTCCAGCTGCACCTGTTCCTCCCCCACCTGTCAATGAATCGCCTCCAGCAGTAGTAAAGCAAGAAAAACCCGACGATGATTAAATGGGTTTGAACAAGAACGTTATCGTCCGATACGCGGGATTTGTTCCGCTGCAATACTAGATTACGTCCCAGCTAATGTTAGTTATATAATTATTACTGATGTCGTTGAAGTTTTTGCGTTTAGAACGCCATGTCTCTTGTATGTAGATAATTCGTATGTTATAATTATTTATCATTTATATTGTTTAGAAGTCGTATGTTTTGTAAAGTTTACATGGCGATTTGTATAAATTGTTAACTTAATAAATTATTATGTTAAGCTTCAGGATGAATACTTATTTTAATCCAATTATCCATTTTAAATTCTAGGTTTTATAAAATGTGACAATAATATTTGGTAAGGTAACTTCTGTCTGCTTATTTCTCTCTACGTTTAAAAACCAGAACCTAACATAATGGTATAAAAAAATATATCCAAAGACTATTAGCACAGAAGTTCTAATTTGATGGTGATTTTTAGGTTAGAATTCTTGCTTACCAACAAAAGGTTGACATTGAAAATAAAACTACTACTTTTTGTAAAAAGAACCTGTTTTATATTAAGGTGTAGCTACTTGTTGCTGTATCCATGGTAGGAGGGCAGCGATATTCACATAAGCAGCGGGAACGTTTGTATTGGCGCAACCTAGACCCCAAGACACGAGGCCTACTACAACCCATTGGCCGTTCACTGGACATACTAGACCCGAGCCACCATCGCCCTGGATAAAATAAAACAACTTTTAAGTAACAAACCAACAACGAACAAGCAATTCTTAGGTAGAAAAATTGTACTTTGGTAACATTCTACATGTATTCTACACAGGTGTTTTCCCTAGAGAAAATTTATTATAAAAAATAATATCGAGGATAACTGTTATCGCAATAAAAGCCAAGCTTAATCTTTGAAATCGGAAAATTACTCACAGTAGGGGAAATTTAATAAAATGTAATTAAGTAGGTCGGAGTTCATCCAGGACAAAAGTTGTGATATCCGATTCATTTACGAGTTATTTTAGTTACGAGTACCTATACATAAAAAGGTTTATTAAATTAATACTTACTGTGCAAGAATCTTTGTTGGCTTCTCCCCCTGCACATATAAAAGAAGTGGTATCTAGAACGTAAGTCGGACCGAGTCTAGCAGCCTGTAATTGCGCTTGACACGTAGCAGGAGCCACTATTGGAACGTCTACTTCCTTTAATATTTGCTGATATTGTCCTTGAACTCCAAATAGATTCTTACCCCATCCAGCTACCCAACATCTAAAAGGTTATAAAATATCTATAAGAATTCGTAAACGTGAACTTTTGAAGGACTTTGTTAGATCGTCAACGATAAACATGTTACTTGATACCCAGTACTTCAGAGTTTGGTTACGTCACAATGTTGTAAGTAACTCTGAACCACTAGCTAGCTAGCCACTAGCTAACTGATATCTTGCTTTGTTTAAAAAAAAATAGGCTAAACACAAGATAAGTCTTACTTCTTTCTTTATGAGTCGGTCAGTAGATTAATTTGAAGAGGTAACATACAATTAGACAGACAGACACACTTTTGCATTCATAATATTTACTATGGCTTTCAGTTGCAGTTTCGAATTCATTAGTATAGAATATTATCCAACAGAATTTCAAGAATTAGCACAAATAATCCTATAACAGTAGTCACCAAATAATAGATCACATGCCTTTGTCCCGTAAATGTAACGGCTGCTGAAGATGGGAGACAGGCTTTGTTTATTGTGGTTGCAGCACCAGCGGCAGGAGTGAACGGAACAGGTGCTGCTAATCTCAGTACAGTGATATCGTACTGCAGAGTATTAGGGTTGTACGAAGGGTGACTGAATACTCTTTGAACTGCATACTCCTGGTAAGGAATAGGTTCATATGTTCCAGCGGCATCCCACTCGCCCATACGTACTTTGACATTCGGCGCTGTACCTGAAACACTATTAAAATTTGTGCAATTTTATAATTTTTGATTTGACTACGATTTTTATTTTAAATGTGGGTTGTACGTAATTAGGTTTCTAAATTCAGATTTAGATAATCTTTAAAATTATACCGTTGAGTTACGACATTCTTTTTATTAAATATTTACAAAATAAAATGAAGTCTCGCTACTTTAATTTTTGTAATATTTCAAATTAAGTACAGTAGTACTACTTACATGTAGGGTAGTAATCTATGGGTAACAGTCAAAACATTCAGTTGATCGATAAGAACACCGCCGGCTATGTAGTCATTTTGTCTCGTTAATATCATGGCCTGAAATAAGACAGTTATTATTTTTCTATTACCATATGTCATTGGAATAGCAAGCAATGAAATATACTTAAATGAAATTTATACAAAGTACAACTTTTTATAAAGTTGCTTGATATCAATAATCAATCGATCGTACATGTCACTCAAGGACACCACAAAATACATATTGCTCACGAATTAAGCATATAATACGGAGCATCAATTAGCTAGCTCGCGGTAGATATATCTGAGAGAAATTCTTTGTTAAATTAAACTAATAATATTATTGAGAATTTTTATACCTGCCAAGGATATTCTCCATAATTAGCTTGTCCTGCAGTCGGCGTAACGGAGAGAGGTGGTGTTGATTGTAATGTTCCACAAGCTATTTGAGACACTACAGCACCACAGCAATATACTTGACCCGCTGGACACTGTCCACCACCGCCTCCACCCTATGACACAAACAGTATACTGTTAACCATAAAAATACTATTAAGTGCATATTAGACTCTTTATTAGGTGCTATAATTTTCTAATTTAAATTCATGCAGTATAGGTATGTAATAAAATTATTACTTACCGGTGTTACAATTCTAATATCAATCAAACCAGCGCCTGTGTTCGAACCAGCACATGTACCAGACGCCACACATTGACAACTTTGCCTTTTGTGAATTGCGTGCTTTAAGCTAACTTCGTTTGGTGTGCTATATAAAATGTCTTTTAACGTTAATTCCACGCTTCTTCTTTGCCTCGGAAATCTGACAGCTGTATTATATGACGGCACCTGAGCACTGTAACCGATTATAGGTGGAACTTGCAATGGTGCTGACGGCGCTGGAGTTGTGCCAAACCTCGGATCGATTGGAAGAGGGCCTGTAGTATTTTCATCGGGGTTAGAGATACATATAATGTCAGGGTTATTACAAAGTATGACAGGTAAAAGAACTCCACCTGTTGTGGGTGGCGGTGTCGGCGTTACTGTTGGACCGCTTGTACTGTTAGTTGACGGTGGTGGAGTTGGCGGGAATACCGTTGGAGGTGGAGTGGGTGGCCCAGGGGTTATGTTACCTGGGGCAGCGGTAGTCGTCGTCGTTGTAGGCACAACTATCGGTGCTGGTACACCCGGCACTATTACCACAGTTGGCGTGGGATTCGTAGGCAATAACCCTAAACATGCTGTCAAAAGCCAGAGACACATATCAGAAGAACGACCGTTGTCCAGCGAATCGACAATGGTATGTGCGATCTACAGTCGCGTTTATTATAAAAATCTATGATTATGATGTGTCAGGTATTAAATATGTCCTTAGTATTACGAATTATGGTATTCCCCCAATAATTGCAACCTTCATGGTGTAGTGCACGTGGTCACAAAGGAATAAATTGTCGCAATCAAATAAACATGAATTACTAATCTGTTAGTAAATGATGGAATTCACATTCATTCGATAAACTATACTAAGTAGTTTTTTCGGTAAAATGATTTCCCAATGACTCATTCATAAGTTGGAAATAATGTGTTAATACCACTAGTAGGTTTCGATCTATGTCATCATTATATGTTTAGGCGCTAATTAAGGGGAACATAAATTTCAAGATTTAAACACAATTTACCGCTACCTCCAATATTTTAATGAATATATTTAGACTTTTTACTTTTCTTTTAATTTGCAACTTCTGACTTATCAGTATATATCAATATTAAGTATACCAAAAATAGTGTAATAAATAGTATAACGTATATTTTTAATGTATTCAATTACTATACGGTATCAAGTAATTACGGGTTGGATCTCTCTGAACTAGAAAATATAATTGTGTAGCATACCTAAAATACGAAGCGTAAAAGAAATTGAAATACAATATTTAAAGATTTATTACTGGAGAATCAATAGTTTCATCTTTGAAATTAAATAAAACCTAACCTCTCCTAAATACTCAGGAGAGATGGTTTTTATCTCCTCCGGTTAGAGTATAAACTTTCCAAAGGAGTTATTACGTTTATGCATGAGTGGGCTACATCCTATATTAATGTAAACTGTATATCTCCTTTTAGATTAAGGGAATTAAATGCTCGTATTTTAAGTGAAATCAAAGAAAGATGTCCTTGTAGCGAATGTCACTCGCCTACAAACATCATCATTGACGCTAACGACGTGTAATCGTGGGAGTATGCTCACGTAAATAAATTGTCCATGAGCCAGTAATGACTGTAATAACCGATGCCAATGACCATTACTTTTATTAGGGCTCTATGTATATAGGATAGTTTCCTATTTATTATTTTTGTTCAGGACTCCTTGGATACTCGCTGTTGGGTGTCGACAACTAGCATTTTTTAATTTTTGAGTTACATACCTACATACGTAATACATTTTATTACTGTTTTATTTAAAAACTGTTTATTTAGTGTTGACTTTACATAGTTTAGTATATTATATTATACTACACAGCACCATCTAGTCCCAAGCTAACGGAGCTTGTGTTATGGGTAACATACATACATTATAATATACATTTATAATCCGGCCATTGCGCTGTGCTAAACCGTGCTAAAACTACCGAAGCTTTCAATATATTTCTATTGCGGCTTTTTGGATACCATCGTCGTCTGGTTCACTGACTCAAATTTCATAAACACATAGTATAAAACAAAGTTGCTGTCGTTGTCTGTTCCTATGTATGCCTAAATCTTTAAAACTACGCAACTGATTTTGAAGCGGTTTTGTTTAAGAGATAGAGTGATTCAAGAAGAAGGTTTATATGTAAAATACATGCACACCCGTGCGAGGTCGGGGCGAGTAGCTAGTGTAAAATAAAATAAGAATAACTTGTTGGATAAATGCATGCCGCTTATATATAACTACTGCTTATTTCGTTGTTGAATTGTATCAATATATATTATTTCGTTGTAATTTATTTTATTATTGTTTCACAGAAAGTCATTCGTTATTTAATTGATTTCAAAACAATTACAAAGTTGAAGTCCATGAGCGTGTATGGCTCATTCTGCTCATCTGACTCTGTACTATGAATATGGCGGTAATCATAAATATTATTTGAAAATATGAGTAAAATTAAATAAATTGTGATATCTTCTTTTTTAAAAAATAATAATAAATTACCCTGTACACTTAACACAGCGCCATCTACCCTCATAACAGAATAGTAAACAGAGATTGTGTTACAATTGATATAAATACTTAGATATATATTATTTTGTAAATACTAATATACATAGAAAACACTCAGATCGATACAAACAATCATACTTATGAATACAAATGTTTGTAACGTGCGTGGAATCTAAACCTACGACCATCGCATGAAAACCGGTATCCTATACCGCTAGCACCGTGGTCGTCAAATATACTGGTTAGTTATTTACTAATAATCTTTTTAAATATTACAGTAAATATAACTAGTAGTATAATATTAACATATTACGGAACTATTTGTCATGAGATGGCATGTTTAAGCCGTGTTATTTATTTTAATATAGAAATATCTACTATTATTTGTATACCGCCACCTGAAATATTACTTGAATACTACTAATTGTACTTGCGTTGAAGGAAGCAGACTGTGAATCCGATAAGTGTGTATATATAAGTTATGTAGATGGCGCTGTTGATGTCGAATATGTGCGTTACATGCCAGACGCTAGGGGGAGTTGTAGTATACAGGCGGCCAGGCCTTGTTGCGCACGCCGAATGTACGTCAATACAAACAAGAAGACTGCTATCGAGACGTATGCGTACAATATAATATGTATAGCTCACGATGACAGCGCCAGCCAGTACAGTAGTGCTCAGTTCAGTTTGTGCAAATTGCTCGTATAATTTGACGCTAGTTGTGCGTGTACATCAACTTAATATTAAATCAGGACGGTTCCCGCGGCTACCTGTAATGATCGACTTCTTCTAATACACTACCTTTGGCGTGCTAATAGATTTTAGTTCAGTGCATAACCATCGAGCCAAAAATTAGTGTTACAGCTACCTAAATCATCGATTAGATATAAAAAGTTGACCTGATACGTCCCTTCTGGCTTTGATAGTGGTAATTTCTCATATTCAGATAAAAATATGCGATGCGTTTATTATAACAACTCATTCTTGTCTAGATTATACGCCAGTTTGATTCAAGTAAAAATTACAATTATGTACTTTAAACTGTAGGTAAAAATAAATATACAAATGTGGATTATTGTTTGTTGATGAATTTTGTTATCGACTGTTCACTCAGAATGCCTTCGTACAGCCAAAAAATAAATGTAGATCTTAATTCTAATGAGAATGGTGCTATAAAGACAGACGATAAAAACAAAAAAGAAGAAAGGAAATATGCCTCGGCGGAGAATATCTCAAATAGTGCACCAGTGGGGCTTAGTCCGAATCAAATAATAGCATTCGCACTACGAGATTTTCTTGGAGCTTCAAGTACTGTGGTCAGTGCTCTGGACAATGAAGGCGAACAACCTTCACAGTCTAATGCTGGTCCAACTCTTCCATATATTGATGAACATGTAGATGACGCCACGCAGTCTGAGGAGGAGCAGCCGCTGGCGCGAGACACTGACGACGTACTGAACAACGCCGCATGCCGTCTAAGGCGTTGGAAAGCAGCGTCCCGGAAGCTTCGTCGGCCGCGAATCATAGACAATTTGTGTGTAAATGATGTAAAAGAAGGTGTTAGTAAAACAAATAATAGTGGTCATACGGATTTAGCTGATCGTTTACGAAGCTTGGCTGCAGCCGGCAATATGTCGGCATCAGCTGGTGAATTACTGTCACTGGCGCCGCCCCCGCCTGCAGCCACAGCGCCACCGTCGCCTGGTTGTCTTCTCTCACCATCCCTGGCAGATCAAAGTTCTGCAGAGTATTTTGTAAGTATTAACAAAAAATTATAAGTAGTAAGCAGATAATGTATTAGATAAGGTCGTAAATTACTAAAATATTATTTTGTTAGATAAGTAGATTCATCGAAGCTCTTAGAACAAGGATTACTAATTCATGATCCACAATCCTTAGACATGCTTAATTGAAAGTAAGTAGTTAATGTTATAAACATTAACGTATTTAATTTTATCACTATTGGGGTGTTTTGTTAAATGAAAAAAAGAAAACAATACCTTCAAAGAAAAAGACAACAATTGAATGGTAAATTAGTTTTCTGTTTAGACTTTGCCGTTCTAAGTTATTACAAATATGGGGGTATGTTTTTAATCGAGCCTTTAGCGTGAGCGGGAAATTTTGATTGCTTAAAATATACCTGTAGGCTGCAGGTATATCTGTCTGTATCGCATATAGGTTCTACGTCAAAGATAAGAAACAAAAGGTACAAGGTACAAGTAGCAAACAAACTTTTATAAAACAATTATATTTTTTTATTGAATTTGGTTAATGCTTTACTAAATAATGCGTTTATTCCGCCAAAGAGAATATGTACAATAAATAACTATTAATAAAGTTCCATCTAGCTTTTTATGATACGATATAAATAACTTTAAATACATAAATTATTGTTTTATTTTTGTAATCTTAAAGATAACGTATACTATAAGTAACAACACTAATAGCGACTTCGTTGTTTATTGTACTTTTTATAATTTGTTAAAATTATTTTTTAGCAACATGCTACTATCATCATTTTCGGTTTGTCACTGATAAAAATAATTCATCGTATAGTAAAAAAAAAAATAAAATAATAGAGCTGCGGAACATTTTTACAACGTTTCCGTCATACTCCTGGTCGAAATTTTCGATAATTCAAACAATTCGTCTATATGCGCATCACGTTTTATAATAATGATTGGACATTCACCTTAGGTCAATGTGATTGGATAATAGTTTGACGACACTGGTGTCGTGATAGCTCTCTGCATAACTTGTTAAAATTTAGAATACTCTTCTTTGTTCCTATCCGTTGCAGAACTAGTCAAATAACATTAAGTGGTACTTATTACTCCAGGATTATTATTATGATTATTCGGATATATCTTCTATTGGGTACACTGGTAAAATTCAGGCCTAGGCATGCGGGTTGGTAAAAGTACTCCAGACGCAATCCGCGTTTCCTCAACGTAAGTACGGCCTGGCAGATTCATTAACAGAAATAATAATCATATTTTGATCAATAGATACGAATAGGTACATTGATAATGATATTTAAATTCTCAAGATAAATAAAACTCGAATAAACTCATGTACTTACAACATAATAAAGTATCTGATATCAGATATGCATAAAGCGAAAATAAACGCAGTTGTATATTCAGATTAATATTAGATACGTATGTATTAATCCGAATATCCTGTGCAATTACAAACATACAATAAGTAATTATTAATACCGGAAATTCAATACAAATATAATTACGTTATCTACTTAGACTATTGTTTTGAAGAACAAAATACTAATGTTGTACTAAGGTATAGATACTTTAGTACAGTATAATAGTAGGCTAGAGCGTATATCTCCCTAGTTACAGATTACATTTTTCATTTTAGTTTTAATTAATAGTAGAAGGTAGAAATAAAAAATAATAAACAAATAAATATGCTTATCTTACTTTTCAAAAGGGTAGTTCCCCAGTACCTACCTATACCTAATACATATTTTGAGATGATATGTTTTGATGCAAATTTTCATTATTTATTTATTAAATAATTCCTTTTTCAAATGAATAAGAGTTTTAGTCTCATTTCGTACAATTTCTTTTAACATCTTTTTTTAGTTGTGAAAAGAAAGCTCAATACATTTGTAGGTATTTTTTTAGTACAAACATTCACATATATGTGTTGATAGTGATATGGTGTATTGTGGTTTGCAAAGTTTTTTACAATCAACTATTACTCGGAGCACATCAGATCCCGAGTTGTATAATGATGTAAAAAAAATGGTATACATTTTGTAGCACACAAAAACTGACTGTTAAGAACGGAAGGACGGATTTTTCGCTGTACGTATTCTTTACAAGGTATTCTTGTCCATAGTGTTGGTGACATAGTATGTATGTGGGATAATCGGCTTCATATACGATAAAATTTAAAGTTTTTCTTCTCTTGTATTTCACCTTATACAGCATTCTGAGAATGAAAACGGGTAATGATTCCTTACATGAATATACTGGCTTCGCATACTTGATCTTATAATATACCTTCCCTCTCATCATTATTATTATTATTATTACATAGTATAAAACAATGTCGCTGTCGCAGTCTGTCCGTCCCTATGTATCCTTAAATCTTTAAAACTACGCAACGGATTATGAAGTGGTTTTTTTAAATAGATAGAGTGATTCAAGGGGAAGGTTATATTACATATATTATAGTTATATGTATATAAAATACATGTACAACCGTGCGAGTAGCTAGTTATCTATATTTGGAGTTAAACAAAAGTATGTAATTGTAATTCTATCTAACAAACTCGACTGTAGTTTTATGTAACTAACTGGTATTCATAAATATTCGATTATTAACATTGCGCTGCCAATCATTTTCTCTTGATTAGTTGCTTTTCCATGTACGAAAGTCAGATTATTTAAATTCTTCGTACCGTAATACAATATTCCTAGTAGACTATGTTCCGTTACGTGGGCAAGTCAATAAAACAAAATAAACGGGAATTGCTGAATTTAACGCATAGAACTCATTTGGGTAAAACCATTTGTTGGTACATGAAGTAATACAATTTAAACATTTGATTTATTAGAACAGTGTTTGTGTCTTGGTTGTTTATGTATACATTAATCTTCTGTTGTGGAACACAAGAATCATCAAAATCTAAAATATGATAGTGAAACCGAATAAATAAGAACTTTACCCTTTTGGAAGTCGTTTCTAAAGCAAAATACTTAATACACACAATAAATATTTAACATTTTAATTACTTATTTCGTAACTAACCAATATTATCATCTAATAGCAATGATTAACAGCTTAATATATATATGACTATATACGTAGGTAAGAAATATTTAGACCTCAGACAATAATAAATATTTATTTAGTTCATACTAACATTATAAATTCGAAAGTGTCTGTCTCTCTGTTTATTACCTTTTCAGGACTAAACAGCTGAACTGATATTTATGAAAGCTGTAAAGATGGATTGTGTCACGAGAAAAATAAATTGATTGATTTTATGTCATTGGTGTGCTTAACAAGCTGACGGTATAAGTGGTAATCGTCCCCTATATATATATACAAGGGAGACGCACGGATATCAACCTAAAAACAATAACGCAAGCTGCACCACTGGGGCTGTACTAGAAACAATACATTGTAATACAAAAACTACATCAGTGAAATAATATTCATAATAAAATTATTATAAGACGTAGCTAAAATAGTATTTTACAAATTGCCTGTTGCAAGTACGCAGTAAGTACTGAAATACCTAATATAATCGATTATGGTAATGGCTCAGTTTTACAAACGGTTATGCAACGAATGTACTTGCGCACTTTTGCTACGGTGTCGTACACTAAGAGATAAAATCATAACGAACCGTCATATTCAAATTAAATTAAATAATTAATGTATTTATGCAAAATATTTCAATAGATTTGGGTAAAATCTCCACGTATAGAATCCTCGTTGTTACTACCCCGCGAACAATTGTGTATCCATCTAGTTCCTGTCTTATGTTACCTGCAAGCCGCGACTTCAGCTACATAAACTTTTTTCTCTTATTTCAACCCATTTGAGTATAGTTTTGTTTTAGATATACGTTCTCGTTCAAACTATCATCCAAATATCCCTACATACATAATATTATCCGAATTGGTCCAGCCGATCATAAGATATTTTATATAATTATTGACCCAATACGAAAATAATAAAATATCTGCAAAATATATTACACTATACATAAAACTATTGGGTCTTATAATATACTAGTTACCCACCCCGGCTTCTCATGGGTGTATATGTATTATACATATAAACCTTCATCTAGAATCTCTCTCACTCGATCTATTTAAAAAAACCGCTTCAAAATCCGTTGCGTAGTTTTAAAGATTTAATATAGGGACGGACACACAGCGACAGCGACTTTGTTTTATGCTATGTAATGATTTGAATATATCTCACATCTAGGTAAGTTAGTTACTACTATTTAATTTGTCAATAACATGAATTCATAAATTAAAATTAATATATTATGAAAAGACGTTTAATGAAATATGTGTGGGGTCAAAATTTGGAGCAATCCATATAAATGTTAATATTGTTGATGATTGTTGTTTTTTCACAAGTAACGACTTAACGGATCTTAATGAAATTTTAGATGAAAGTAGACTGTGTTACGACGTAAGTTATAATAATAAATAAATAAATAACCCTGGACAATTAATCCAGCGCCATATAGTCCCACTGCAAGCAGAATGTGTTATACGCTGCAAACATCAATTAATGACACTTTAAAAAACACTGTTCTATACATACTACGCATTCTGCGAGAAATAAAGTATAATACTAATAAGATAGAAAACAAATATTACATAAAATATTATTAAATAATATATGTACTCGTACATTTATTATTCAATTTATTATTATAATTCTACAGAAAATGTACCTTATCATATTGCGGTGATAGTAATCTTTAAAGGGAATTTATAATACGGAAGTTCAAATCTACACAATCTAATCAACTCATAAGTCGTCATGGCGGTGAATGAGGTGTTTATGACGTGTCTTGGAAGTAGTCCTAAAATGAATGACGTCACTGCGACGTAACTTTAGGTGTAGTTAAAATATTACTGACGTATGTGTACAGACACGAAGGTTTCCTATAAAAAATACCGTTGACCGTCCAGTCATCACTTAAGCATATATGTATATAATCTTATCCTGAATACTACCAAATATCTTAATG